TCCCCTTTCTTAGCCTTTAGTGTGCTCTTCTGTGCGGTGGGGGTCATACTTCTCCACCGTGGGCCCCCGGAATGACGTAAGCCTTTCCTATCTTTTACTTTTAAGTTGCTTGGCACCTGGCCCAGCATGGTTCTTGCAGGATGATAAGCAGGTTTCAGAGGTGATTCCTGCCGTTAGTGCTTGCTGCCCTGAGTTCCAGCCCATGGCCCCTGATTGCAGTGTGTCTGGATTTCCAAGTTCACATTCAAGAGGCCTGTAAGATCGCGCCGGGTGAATGAAGGCGGCACAGCGTTTCAGTCTCTCTCCCTTGCTCTCCTGCCAGCGATGTACAATGCCTGCAGGGACGTGGAGGCCCCCTCGAGTAACGACAAGGCCCTGGGCCTGCTGTGCGGGAGGGAGGCCGAAGCCTGCAACGCCACCAACTGGATCGAGTACATGTTCAACAAGGACAACGGCCAGGCTCCTTTCACCATCACACCCATCTTTTCAGGTGGGGATCAAGACTCCCAGTTTGGTGCATTTATAATTTTCTTTAAACCCAGGAACTGTAAACTGCAGTAGGAAGGTAAATTCAGCTAACTAGGTCCTAGAGTTCCCTCCAAAGAGAGAGGAAGCTAGAGCATTTATCCTGCCCCTGGTTAACATAGGGACTGGGCACGGGGTTGAGGAGGAGGAAGAATTGTCCTCAGGTACTGAATACGTAATTGGAAGAAATAAGCTGTTAAGGAAAAAAAAAGTGGTGGGGGGAGCCTCTCAGAAGCTCTGCGGTAGTATTAGACTAGCTCCTCAGTGGAGATAAGACTCAACTGAAGATTTACCTTGGACTGTGATGTATTTGGATCCTGGTGATGAACCCTGTGCCCAAAGTTATTGAGGTGACTTAAAATTTTACGGGATTAAGCAGCAAAACATAATGTGATCACCCAGAAACCTCCAGTCCTTTTTATTCTTCCAGTTGTGTTATTTATTTTTAAAATTTATTTTCTAGAGGGAGGTAATTAGGTTTACTTATTCATTTACATTTTTGGTGGTGGTACTGGGGATTGAACCCAGGACCCCATGCATGCAAAGCATGCACTCTACCGCTGAGCTACACCCTGCCCGCCGTGTTACTTATTTCTGTGTGCTTATCATTGGCTTTAGATATAGTTTAACACAAACTTTTTAGTGGTTTTTTTTCTTTTTAATGGAGACATCCACTCAACGCAATCCTTCCCACAGATCTTCCAACACAGGGGATGGAGCCCATGAACAATGCCACCAAGGGCTGTGACGAGTCTGTGGATGAGGTCACGGGGCCATGCAGCTGCCAGGACTGCTCGCTGGTGTGTGGCCCCAAGCCCCAGCCCCCGCCCTCTCCTGCTCCCTGGAGAATCCTGGGCCTGGACGCCATGTACGTCATCATGTGGAGCACCTACATGGCCTTCTTGGTTGTGTTTTTTGGAGCATTTTTTGCCGTGTGGTGCTACAGGTAACCTGTTTTGTTTTTCTTCCAGGGCAAGAAGAGTGAAATTACCCAAGTGGCACTTGTAGCTTTCACTTGGCAGACTTTGGTTTATTAGAACAGGAAACACCTGCATTAATACCATTCCATGAGTTGCTCGTGTCCTACAACCAGTCCACAATCAAAAGCCTTTTTAGACATTGAAACATTTCAAGTCAGTTTGGCTGATTTATTCAAAACAGCATGTGATTTAAAGCACCCGTTCTTTAACAGAAATTCTCGTGAGCTGAATCTAAATGCAATGCTCTAGTCCTTTTAGATATTTGCATCTTGATTTAGGACAGCATGTTTTTTAAAAAAGTTTTTACTTTGAAATAATGTTACCAAAAAGGTACAAAAACTGTAGAATTTATATATATCCTCTACCAGCTTCCCCTAATGTTACAGCTCACTCCACCCATAGTATGTAATTTAATCAGATCTATGCAGATAACACTGGTGTACGATCATTGGCTAAACCACAGTCTTTATTCAAGTCTCACCAGTTTTTCTAATGCACTTTTTGTTTCAGGACCCTGTGTCACAGTCAGTTTTTGTTCTGTTTGTCTCCTCCAACCTGTGACAGTTTCCCATCTTTCCTTTTCTTTTCTGGCCTTGACACTTTTGATGAGTCAGTGATTTTGTAGACTGTGCCCTGATTTGGCTTTATCTGACATTCTCTCACGATTAGATTGAGGTTATATGTTTTTGATAATGTCACGGAAGTGGTGTGTCTTCTCAGTGTGTCATGTCAGGGGCTTATGATGTCAGTATGTCTCATCGCTGATGACATTAGCCTTGATCACTTGGTTAAGGAGGTGCCTGCTGGGTCTCTCCACTGTGAAGTTACTGTTTCTCCCTTTGGGATTGATAAATATCTTAGGGGAGATACGTTGAGACTATGGCAACGCTTCGTTTCTCCTCAGACTGTCACCGCTGGGCTTAGCATCCTTCAGTGATGTTGTCTGCAGTCCTTGCTGCTGTGGTGTTTGCGTAATGGTGACTTTGTGTTTCTCGTTCCTTCTCCATTTTCCAGTTGGACTTACTTTGTGCAGAGAGTTAATCCTTCTCCCCTACTTAATGTATTTATTCAGTTATATTTACATCATGGGACTTTTTTTTTAATTCTGTGGGCACAGTACCATCATTTATTTTGTTGCTTGGATTTTTCTCAATTTTAACCACTGGGATCACCTTCTGGGGACTCCTTTGTTTTCGTAACATGCCCCTGCCTTCCTCAAGCTGGTACTTATTTTCTGGAATCACAAGATGTTCCAGGCTCATCTTCTGTTTTTCCTGCCCCAGCCCTAGAAGCAAGCTCTTCTGCAAGGAGTGCTGGTTCCTTTCACTGCAGAATGGTGTTTAGAAACCAAAACCTGGGCACTGGGTGTGCTCATTGCTCCTGCAATATCATGTCTACTATCATGTTTTTAAAGGACCTAAAACTTTTAAATATAAATGAGGGCTACAAGGTGAAATTATCCTCTATTCATTTGTTTTTTTTATACCCTATTAAATTTTCTCCTGAGACTGGTGAGCAGGGAGACCCAGAGCAAGGGAACTTAGGAGAAGGAACGCAACAACTAGGGAGGAAGCAAACAAGATGAGAAAGTAAGCTTGTAACAGGGTTATGGGAACGTCAGAACAGCCTCATTGTGCTGAAGTCCACTAACACGACACATGCTTTTATTTTTCAGGAAACGGTATTTTGTCTCCGAGTACACCCCCATTGATGGCAATATAGCTTTCTCTGTAAATGCCAGTGACAGAGGTAGGCACGTTTGTACTTAAACAAAAGAGTTAGGGCTATGTTTGCATGTTTACGTGCCTGTTCTGGGAGAGGCAATGAGCTCGTCCCGAGGACAGGGCTGTGATGGAGGCAGGGTCCTTGCCTTTGTGGCGCTGACAGTCCAGTGGGGGTGGCAGATCAGAACCAGGTAACCAGTAGTATCAGTGGAACAGCATGGCCTGGGATCAGAGCTGTGCACGCGCTAACGTAGCAGGAAAGGTTGGTGGGAGCTGCTCTGGAGAGGGTGCTGGGAGCACCCTGCTTTCCGAGGCTTGTGTGAGCAGTTGTTGCTCCAATCGGTGGGCGTGGCGGTCGTTGTGGGCCGGCAGGGACGGCAGGTTGCGGGGCTGGTGCGTCCCGGGCGTGGGCGCGGTTCCCGCCCCGAGCAAGCAGCCAGAGCTGATGTTCTCCCTGTTCCGACTTTCAGGAATAGCTTGGCTCTTAACCTCCACCCTCCCTTCCTCTCCCGCTCTTGCAGGGGAGGCGTCCTGCTGCGACCCTCTGGGGGCCGCGTTTGAGGGCTGCCTGAGGCGGCTCTTCGCGCAGTGGGGCTCCTTCTGCGTCCGCCACCCCGGCTGGGTCGTGTTCCTGTCGCTGGTCTTCATCAACGCCTGTTCGTCGGGCCTGGCGTTCGTGCGGGTCACCACCGACCCGGTGGACCTGTGGTCAGCCCCCGGCAGCCAGGCGCGCCGGGAGAAGGAGTACTTCGACGCGCACTTCGGGCCTTTCTTCCGCACAGAGCAGCTCATCATCCAGGCCCCGCACAGCCACCCGCACACCTACGAGCCTTACCCCTCGGGGTCCGACGTGCCCTTTGGGCCCCCGCTTGCCGTAGACATTTTACACCAGGTAATCTGCTCTTTGCAGAAATCGGTTGGGGCGGGGTGGCGGCGGGGAGCTGTGCTTTGCCAGCTTTTGACCAGTTCATTTGATGAGGGTTTGGAGCTGAACGTGGTGGTTTATCTTGAAAACCTTAACAATAAAAGTAAAGGTGCTTTTCACTTACTTTCCAAGACAGTGATAGGAGTTGAACTTAATGAAAAATTTAGACCGCCTTTATATTTATTTCATACAATATGTCTTGCTTGAAATTGAGATGTGAGTTTCTCTATCGAGACAGAATGTATTTATAATTCACCTCAGGAACTTAGGATTTGTCTTCCCTTAGTAATTGAAAAGGGGACCTTGGTAATTTTCCTGGGGACCAAGGCAGGAGCTGCTGGATCATGGCTGGTCCTGCCTGCAGGAGTGAACTTACCATGGCCTGCATGTGGCACCCACCCCCCCCGCACTTGGGGAGAGGTGCATTTGGAATGAGATCTGTTCTCACAAAGGCCTTTACATCTGCCTGTTCACTTATCTCACTTGCCCTCGAGAGCTGCGTCTGGGAATAAACTGCATCCCACTTATTTTTTCTTTAAACGTTGCTGTTGCCCACAGAAAGTCTGATATCTTGAAAACATCAAAATGGTCCCAAGACTTTAATAGAATCTCTTCTCTACGCAATGACTGTTGCCTTTTCACAACTTGTTGCAAAAGATGCAAATGTAATCATTTACCTCCTGGTGTGTATTTCCTATCTGAAAATACAGGAATATATATAAATAATCATGGCATGGAGCAAGGTGGTGTTTGTTGGTGAGGGGAGTGTCGGGAAGACCAGGCCAATTGCCCCGCCTTCCCCTGTGGCCTTTTTGGTCACTGCTGGGAGAGGTTCATGTGCCTGGCGATGAGACCTGGCCTGTTGTGGTGTCCCCTCCCAGAGACACTGGCTACCTCTCAGCTGGATCTCCGTCCCAGTGTGCTGTTCCTCAGATACTTTACTGTAGTGGGTCTTAGCCCTCTCCCCTGTCTTAGGAGGGATTTCCCCAAATACTCTTTATCTTTTGACCCCTCAGGTCAATAATAGTGGAAATCAGAGAGAAATCTGGTGTATTTCTGGGTTTGTTTATTTTAAAAATCACCTTTCAGGTTCTTGACTTACAAACAGCCATCGAAAACATTACTGCATCTTACAACAACGAGACTGTGACGTTTCAGGACATCTGCGTGGCCCCCCTCTCGCCATATAACAAGAACTGCACCATTCTTAGTGTGTTAAATTACTTCCAGAACAGCCACTCTGTGCTGGACCACGAAGTAGGGGACGACTTCTTCGTGTACGCGGATTACCACACGCACTTCCTGTACTGTGTCCGGTACGTGGCAGGGGACAGTCCATCCTTTGTTCCACCAGCATTTGAGCACTTGCTGTTGTAGTACTAGAGCCCCAGCAGTGAGCAAACAGCCAATAGCAGGACCCTTCCGGCAAAGCCTACGTTCCAGTGGAGGGAGACAGACGATGAACAGTAGATGCTTACCCTGACACCAGGTCGACATGATGCCCAGGGGGGAGAAGAAAGCCAGGTCGGGGTGGAGAGTGCAGGGAGGCAGCTGCTCTCCATGGACCTGCTCAAAGGGAGGGGAATGGAGGGAGCCTGTGAAAGTTGGAGGGAAGTGTCCCAGGTAGACGGGCAGCAAGTCCAAAGGCCCTGGGGTAGGGCGTTCGTGGTGTGTAACTGAGGCGCGGCAGGTACTGCTCAGTACCACGCCACCCTCAGCGATTCTGAGCTGGTTTCATAGTATAAAAATAAAAGTCTATAGTGCCTTTTTCTTGTCTTTCAAATGCAAATTGATACCACGATATTGAGTTTTTAAAATGTGCAGCCTCCCCTCCAAGTTGGGGCTGGATTGGAGGGCACTCCTCTTGCTCCACTCACTCGCTCCTTTCACATGCCTGTTCCCTTCTGTACTTTCTTTTCTTCCCTCCATCGCGGTTGCATAGAGCACCTGCACTTCCTTCTTCCCACATGAGTCTTCCCTCGGCCTAAAGACCTGCTTCTGTACAGCTCTCCTCTTTATGGTGCCAGTTTTCCCCCGTGTTAGTGGCTCCTCTCCGAGCACCCAGCACCAGGCAGTATCGACCCATCACACTGCTTTTGCCTGCATCTTACCTAGTGATTCTGAGCTCCCAAAAGCAAGTACTGAACTGCGTTATTCACCTAGGGAACCTCAGGCCCACGTTGTGCTTGGAATATAATCAGCCACGTGACTGTTTGTCGTATAAGCTTTCAGGTCTCTGTGATGTCTTGAGGTTCTAATTGGGAAATGTTTTCTAAATTCTTGGCAGGGCTCCTGCCTCTCTGAATGACACAAGTTTGCTGCACGATCCTTGCCTGGGGACGTTTGGTGGGCCGGTGTACCCGTGGCTCGTGTTAGGAGGCTATGATGGTGAGTGAGATGCTTTTACTTTTTCTGTTAGAGGAAGTAGCTGTGGTTCTGTCAAGTGGTAATTATGAAGATTTCGTAAATCGGGTGATGTACTTAATTCCCTATCTCTTAAATCCCAAAGACAGCATCTCCTTTGGCTTTGGATTTGAATTTTATTCTTGATTTGAAAGAAGTGGAATGCGTTAGCCATTTTTAGGTCACACTTTGGGAAGCTGTGGACAGCCGAGGATATTCCCTAGAATAATGCCGTCGTGCGCGCCCACAGAATGTGTTGCTCAGTTTCAAGGACTTGATGGAGCCCTTGAAACTCACCAGTAGAACCCCTCGGGAATCCGTGGAGCTCAGGTTTAGAACATCTGTAATGAGGAAGAGATGTGTGAGACACTGGAGACAAAAAACGAAGTTGATGGATTTCTTTTTCTTCTAAACCAGTTGGTTAAGAGTTCAAAGCCTTTTATAGTAGGAGGAGCAGTTGGTTTGCTCTTTGCTGGTTCCTGCACACCTTGGAACAGATTGTACTGGGTACGGTGGGGTAATGGTTCGTGTGACAACATTGGCATCTGAAGCCTGATCACAGGCGGCTCAGCAGGTTTTTCTCCAGTCCCGTGTTCTTCTCATCCGGTGGGAAGGGAGAAGTTGTGGCCTGTCTTTAAATTTTACTCTGCCTCATAGAATCCAGTGTCATTTCTAATCAGTGGCTAGCCACAGCCATCAAAATGAAATTTGGTCTGTACCTTACTCCTTCCACTAAAGTAAATGCAGATAGATCAAAGATTGAAATAGAAGAAGTGAAACTATTAAAGATCTAGAAGAAAATGCAGGAGGAATTTTTAAAAATAATTTCTAAATGGAGAAGGCATTTCTAAACAAGACACAAAATGCAGAAGCCACAAAAGGAAACACTGATGAATCTGACTATGTGAGAATTTAAAACACCTGTGTGGAGAAAACAGCAAACTGGAGGGAAAAAAAATTAGTATATATAACAGACAGCATTTCCTTAATACATAAAGAGCTCTTGCGGGGGGGAGAAAGGTCAGCAACCCAGAAGAAAAAGGGACAGAGCCATACGAATGTTAACAAAAGGAGAAATACAAATGGCTTTTTATTCCGTGGGGCAGTGCCGAACCTCACTCCGAATTAGTGAAATGCACCTCATTTCAGTTCTGCATAACAGATTAGCAGAGATCTACCTGTTCGGTAAAACCCTGTGTAGGGGAGAGTGTGGGGAAACTGCACTGTTGGTGAAAGATAAATGGTTACTAGGACATAAGCTCCAGGAAGGCAGAGGTCTCTGTCTCCTTTGCTCGCTGATGAATCCATCGACATTAGGGCTCAGGAAATATTCTGTTGGCTAAAGAAATGAGAAACAAGATAGCCTCTTTAGAGGGCAGCGTGGGACAGTATATCAAAATTTAAAAAGCACATATTTTTGATTCAGCCATTGTTCCTGTAAAATTGATTCTCCAAATAAGTATTTTACAGATTAAAAATAATCAGGTTATTCTTTGTAGTTAATTCTGTTTATAATACTGGAAAAAATTGTAAAGATATCCAGTGACTGGATGTTGATTAAATTATACTAGAAAATATTACACAGTAGGAAAAAGAATAAGGAAGTGCTTTATGTACTAAAATGGAGCCATCTCAAGGCCCGAATTCAAAAGCAGAATTTGCAGAAGAACGTGTTACTATTTGTGCAAAGAAGAAAGAAAGGGGAAGACTGTGCCTGTGCGTGTGGAGCGTGGCTGGAGAGAGTTGCAGGCTGTCAGAGATGGGGAGGAGAATGAGGAAGGAGAGAGACTTTGCCCTGAACACCTTTCCACTCTGTTTGAAAATGTTACCATGCACGCGCTGTGTAGCAGTGATATGATACGAATGACAGCTGTGCATGCTTCTGCCGGAGAGTCCTTTCTCTTCTCTAGCTGGACCATGTGGATGCTAGCTCAGCGACTTCCTGTTTTGTTCTTTGAGTGCAGGCTTCAGCCCCAGCAGGAAACCAGTCACCCAGCTGCCTTGTGGTTTTTCCCCTTGTATTCTGTATGTAGTTTTCTGCACGCTTGTAACCTGCTTCTTGATGTCACCTTTTTCCTTTCTAGATCAAAACTACAATAACGCCACAGCCCTTGTGATTACCTTTCCTGTCAATAATTACTATAACGATACAGAGAAGCTGCAGAGGGCGCAGGCCTGGGAAACAGCGTGAGTTGCTCACAGGGTCTAAACAACCCGGTCTTTTTGTGGGAAGCGGGTCACTAGCAGGAGGCACTTAACACTTCGTTCAGCTCAATTAACCAACAGATCTAAGCTGCGTCCTTTTTTTAACTTGGTACTAGTGATGCGGCAAAAAAGTCTGTAAGTGAATTTACCTGTAAACTTTATGTAAATGCACATCCCTGCAACCGGAATGTAAAAGTATCTGTGCAGAAACATGCCTTGTTCATTTTCTAACAGCAAAAACTGGGAGCATGCAGAGTGTGTATTAGGAAGGAGAAGTACCGTAGAATATTAGGCTGTCATTAAAGGTGGTGAGGTAAATAAATGGATCAAGACGTATTAAATAAAAACTGCCATCAGCACGTTTAGGTAAATCGATGCTGTGCATGTCGTCCGTGCAGTGACCCAGAAACTGGCTAGCTGTGTCATAACTGCTCGAAAACAGGAATTGGGGACTGAGCGGGGCAGGGACTTCGACTCATTGCTTTAGACCCTCTGGTATTTTCTTTCTTAAACAGCATTGTCGGGACATAATTCATATACCATACAATTCACCCATTTAAAGTGCACAAATCAGTAGCTTTTAGTATATTCACAGATACTTATGTGCTAACATCGCCACAGTCATTTTAGAGCATCTTCTCTACCACAGAGAGAAACCCCACCTCCTTGAGCGAGCACCCTCGTATCTGCTCACCCTCCCACATCGCAGCTCTGCACAACCACCAGTCTGCTTCTGTCTCCACATATTCTTCTGTTCCAGGCTTTTAAGTTTGGAATCATACACGTGGACTGTTGTGTCTGGCTTCTTTCACTTAGAATAACGTTTTCAGGGTTCATCCAAGTCAGCTCATATTAGTACCTCATTCCTCTTCATGGCTGAAGAATACTCCATCCTATGGATGGACCACTGTTCATTTCTTCATTCTTCAGTTGATGAACATTTGAGTTGTTTCTTCCTTTTGACTATAATGAGTAATGCTGTAAACATTCGTATACAGGTTTTTGTGTGACATCTGTTTTCATTTCTCTTGCATGGCAGATACCTAGGAGTAGAAATGCTGGGTCATATGGTAACTCTTTGGGGAACTTCCAGACTTTTTCCCAAAGTGGCCGCACCATTTTACACTCCCACCAGTGGTGTATGAAGGTTTCAAATTCTCCACATCCTCACCAACACTTGTTACTACCTGACTTTTTTATTCTGGCTCTCCTAGTGTGTATGAAGTGGTATCTCATTGCAGTGTTGATGTGTTCTAAATGACAGAAGACTCAGCATGTCTGGAGCTTTATAATTTAGAGGTGTCTTACCGTCTCCCCTCCAGGGTAGAAGACTCTGCTGAGGGCTGAGGGTTGAGGGTGGCTTTTGCATCATAGAAGTTAGCAGGGAGTTCCTTACTCTGCTGTCACTCAAGCTTTAACTAAAAATATAAAATTTTGCTTACCCTTTTAGGTTTATTAACTTTGTGAAAAACTACAAGAATCCAAATCTGACCATTTCTTTTAAGGCTGAGCGAAGTATTGAAGATGAGCTAAATCGTGAAAGTAACGGTGACATCGTCACTATTCTAATCAGCTATGCCGTCATGTTTTTATATATTTCCATAGCCTTGGGGCATATCAAAAGCTGGCGCAGGCTTCTGGTAAGTGGGTGTGTGTGTGTGTGTGTGTGTGTGTGAAATGGCAATGCACAGAGTGATGTCATGTTTCTGTCTCTACTTAATCCTAATTCATCATGTTCAAAACTGTCTTAAATGGTCCTGGGTTTCGATTGTATGTAACATTTTTCTGCTTCCCGCATGTGTTTCCTTCAGTTCCAGCTTTTTTGTTTATCTTTAAAATTTATTTCACATAATGCAGTTTTTTCTAATTTGTCCACCCCATCGCCTAAGAATGTAGGCTCATAAAATATGTTGCTAGGGAAGACCAGGACAATTTTTCGTATCTTCTTTTATCCTGGGAATTGTACTTTTAAATCTAGATGGGCTCTACACGTAAAGAGGTGAAAATAAGGACCTTTTAGGAATAGGACCACAAATACCCACAGCGATGATCTGTGTCTTTGCCGCATCTCCCAGGTGGACTCTAAAATCTCGCTGGGCGTCGCGGGCGTCCTGATGGTGCTGAGCTCGGTGGTGTGCTCCTTGGGCATCTTCAGCTACGCTGGGGTCCCCCTGACCCTCATTGTGATAGAGGTCATCCCGTTCTTGGTGCTGGCCGTTGGGGTGGACAACATCTTCATTCTGGTCCAGACCTACCAGGTACGTCTCAGTCTAACCAGTCCTGGCATCTGACCGGGTACAGGCTCCACAGGTGACTGTTCAGCTCCAGGCAGAGTATTTGTGGGTGTGACGCTGGAGGCTTTGTGTCCATTCCCTGCCGTGGTTAATTGTTCTGGACAGTTTGAGAGCAGGAAGTTCACCCTTCTCTCTGGTTGGTGGACTAGATATAAAGTGAGAACGTGGTTTCGAATATGTGCAAGACGTGTGCAAAAGGGGCTAATAACATGCTATGGAAAATATTTTGGGTATGACTGCTATTAAAATGATTCTCAACAAAATGTAGAAGAATGAGAGATTTGTCAGAGGTACCACTGGAAGGAAGAAGGTCACAACAGGACCTGCTGATGTGAAAATGACCTCCATCAGGGAGCCTTGTTCTGTAGCCTTTACCTGTGGGGAGACCCAGTGGCATGTCGGAGTGTCATTTAAAGGTCCAGCCACCTGCAGCCTGTGTTGCGTGTATTTTCCGAAGAACATGATTCATCCCTCCCCTGAGCGTCTAAGCTGTTCCCTATTTCCGGGATTCAGAAATGCCCCAAGTGAATCAATGTGAGAAGTTTCGGGTCCCGACTCTGTTGTATAAAGTTTATACCCAATAAGTCGATGCTACTGGTCATTTCCCTTTTCCGTTGAGTTAACACAAGGCAGCAGAGAGGCGGCATTTTAATTGAGAAATTTTAATGCCGCACGTTTACCCTTTTTTTTCTTTTAAGAGAGATGAACGTCTTCAAGGGGAAACCCTGGACCAACAGCTGGGCAGGGTCCTTGGGGAAGTGGCTCCGAGTATGTTCCTGTCGTCCTTCTCAGAGACGGTAGCGTTTTTCTTAGGTAATTGCTCTGAGTTCTCCCAGTCCTGCAGCTTGCTGCGCCTGGGTGTCTGCATATACCCCTTTGTGTTCTTCCTGTTTTAAGCTTTATTCTGTAGTTGGCAAGTATGGGAGTGGACCCCAAGAAAGACAGACAGGTGGCAGTGTCTTGGGAGTCGTGAGCAAGTGCCTTCTTTCTCACGTTGTTTCAGGACTGCCTGGGTGCTGGGGTCCAGATACCTAGGACCCCTCTGCCCCTTCCCCTTTTGGGCACCCCCGGCAAATGTGGGTGTCCTGTATAGCCACCGAATCCTTCCTACTGCAATGTGGAGCCGCGGTTCCAGAGTCACAGGCATTAGGTCGCACGGCGTTTGCCGCCGTTCTCCTCGGAACGCACGGTTCATTGGGGAGCAGCCTCGTAAATGACAGAGGTTCTCGGACCTTCTCTCAGTCCAAGGAGCCAGAGTAAGGACAGAACCCAGCACGTGGAGAAATCACCTAGCCTTCCCAGCAGGACCCCCGGCTCCATCTCTGGTGGGTAGTAGGAGGAAACTGACCACATCCTCTGAGGAGGGTGCTGATTAGACTCACCCAGGGAAGGCCCACGACCCATGGGTCACAGAAGGAGATGGCTGCAGGGCCACCAGGCCATCTTACCAGGGGCCGCAGGAGGGTGGTGCTCTTCCTGCACAGATGCAGTTAGCACGTGTCGTTCTCCGTTTCCACAAAGCAATGCGCTTTGGAACTCATGGGCGTTGTGGTTCCTTTTGATGGATACAGGTGCACAAAAGTCACTTCCTCTTTTCACTTCTATTGTTAGAAAGCCAGTGCAAGTGAGCTGGCGACAGCAGCCGACACTCAAGTTGAAGTGACTGGGGGCACATGAGGACTAGGGGGACCCGTGGCGCCCAGAGTCTCAGGTCCTGTCTAAAAAGGCAGTTAGCCCAGTGCTGCCCAGTTTTTTTTCCTCAAGCAACACTGTGAATCTAGATTTTTTTTGTCAAATATCATTGTTAAATATTGG